CTGACACTGGGCCAGCCAGTGGGAGGCTCAGCTCTCCTTCGATGTCAATGCCTCCTTTCTCCTCAAGTCCCTCACCTCTCAGATGCCCGTGGGACATCCCAAGGGCCTGGGTGACACAAAGGAGTATCAGTATCACTGTCCCATTTTCTCAGATTCCAGGCAAGGAGGCTCTTTGGTGCCTTCATTCTTCCCGTGCTTACAGTGTCCTTCGCAGCCCGTCCCACTGGAGTCTTGTTCGGATTACCCCGCCGAGGCCCTGTCCCACCCAGGGGCTTCTGCTTGGGACTGGCCTGAAAAAGCTGCCTCCTTCCTGGGCTGGGGTCTGCACTCCCAACCTCTGCCTTCTCCTGTTCTGAAACCAACCACTCCTGGTCTTGTTCCATCACTTTCCAGAATTTGGGGCACAACTAGAGATGATTTTCAGGGACACACAGTATAACTTCAGGTGCTGAAAGAACTTAGCATTAAATCACACCGAATCGCATGGCAAAACAAGTTTAACTAACTATTATTTTTCAATGTTCTGTCATTCCCTCTGATTCTCTCAGATAGTCTCATGATGATGTGTCTTTTAGCATCTCTGATGTGGCTTTATTTTTAGTATGCTTATTTTTACAATTACCTTCTATTTTAGGCAAGGCATAGAAATTGTCCGTTTAGGTTTTAATATCTTCTAATTTTTTTCATATCAACATACACACCTAATTTTACATATGTAGAATCATATCATACATGTTTTTTGTTTTGAGACAGAGTCTTACTGTGTCGCCCAGAGTGGAGTGCAGTGGTGCGATCTCGGCTCACTGCAACCTCTGCCTCCCGGGTTCAAGCAACTCTCCTGCCTCAGCCTCCTGAATAGCTGGAATTACAGGCATGCCCCACCATGCCCGGCTAATTTTTTTGTATTTTTAGTAAAGATGGGGTTTCACCATGTTAGTCAGGCTGGTCTTGAACTCCTGACCTCAGGTGATCCGCCCTCCTCGGCCTCCCAAAGTGCTGGGATTACAGATGTGAGCCACTGTGCTTAGCCACGTGATTTTTAAAGCACAGCCTTTAACCTTCTTTGCTTGCTTTTCCTCCCCCACATCTTCCATGGCTGTGACTGTGTCCCATGACCAGCTGCATAATTTTCAGGGACCAGTGCAAAATGAAGATACAGGGTCTTTGGTTCGACAAATTATGAGGAATTTCAAGACGGCAACAGCAGAGCATTCGAGCAAGGGCGAGTCCTTCTAAGCATAGGGCCCTGTACACAGTCCACCACCCGTGGAGCTGGCCCTGCTCGACCCCTTCCCTGAAGCCCACCCTTTTAATTTCTCCATTTTGGTCATCTGCTGTCTGCTCATCCACACTTGTCTTCACATTCCTGTAATCACACCAGTTCACAGAGGGGGTCTTTTGGCTTTGCGTTGCAAAAATTGTATCATATTACATTTTCTTCTCTGCATCTTGCTTTTCCTACTCAACACAGCTTGGAAATCCTGCCAACCCATCTGGGTCTATTTCATTCTTTATGAAGGCTGCATAACATGCCACGCTGTAAGTGGACCAGAATTCATTCAGCAGTTTCCCCCGTGAATGGGCAGTCACTCTGTTTCTGAGTTTTTGCCATTCAAAAATCTGTAATCAGCCAGGCGCGGTGGCTCACGCCTGTAATCCCAGCACTTTGGGAGGCTGAGGTGGGCAGATTGCTTGAACACAGGAATTCGAGACCAGCCTGGGCAACATGGTAAAACCCCGTCTTTACAAAAAATATACAAAAATTAGCTGGCATTGTGGCAAGCGCCTATAGTCTTAGCTTCTTGGGAGACGGAGGTGTAAGAATCGCTTGAACCCAGGAGGTGGAGGTTGCAGTGAGCTGAGATCACGTCACTGCTCTCCAGCCTGGGCGACAGAGCGAGACTGTCTCAAAAAAAAAAAGTGATTATGATGTGTGAGAAACACTGATCATGCATTCGGCCCTTTGTGAAACGAGGCCTGGATGGAAAGACAAATCGAGGTGATTTCTGCATTTGCTCCTGCAGCACAAAAGTCAGAGAACACAGAAGCCAGGTTCCTTTCTGGGTATAGGGGATGGGTGAATGCTTGACACAAAAATAAAGCCCTCGAGCATATCTGCTTTTGACAAACTGCATTGGAGCTGGCAGCTGCTGCTCACTCTTTCATTCAGTCAATCAGCAAACACTCCCTTGGACACCGTGGGGGACACAGGGCTGACCCAGCCTTGGACCCTGCCTTCTAGGGTTTTCTGATCTAGGAGAATACATTTGTGTCTTTATGCATGAGAAAGTGATTTTCCAGTCCCAGAGAGAGAGATGATACAGAACTGAGCTAAAGCCCCCCTTCAACACACACACACACACACACACACACACACACACACGGTCATAATCACATATGCAGACAGTCCCACCTCACAATTATACACACTGCAGCCATCCTTCAATCCCCCCTCCCCCACCCCATGTAGTGACATCGAAAACTACGCTGGAGCACTGGGACCGTTGCTGTGGGAACCGGGATTCTGAAATCCTAACCTGTGGGCAACTGAAGCCGCAGAGTCTGTGCTCTGAATCTGGAGTCATTTCCCCTTCAGTGGGTCAGGCTGGGCAGACAGCCAGGGAGTTAGCGAGGCTGATGACTTTCTGCCTGATGGTGGAGAGACTCACACGGTTTCCTGGAGAGGGCTGTGTCTGCCAGGTTGTGCACGAATACACGCACATGCTCAGGCGCAGGAGGTGAGTCCATGGAATCTGCTCTGGTGAAGCTCCAGGAATGTGTAACGGTCATGTCCGAGTCTTCAGCCTCTGCATCGATCAGGCCAGGCTAGGCAAGGCTGTAGCAACAAGGACACCCCAAAATCTTCATGATTTAACATGATAAAGGCTTACTTCTTACTCACACAAAAATCCTAGCTGGGTCAACAGCCCCTTACCTCTTGCAGTTCCTCCGAAACCCAGAGCCTCTAATATCCTTCAACAGGGAAGACGTAAATGGAAAAGGCTTACTGCCTCTTACCTGCCTTGTCTCAAAAGTGAGCACAGGCCTGGCGCGGTTGCTCATGCCTGTAATCCCAGCACTTTGGGAGGCCGAGGCAGGCAGATCATGGAGTCAGGAGATTGAGACCATCCTGACCAACATGGTGAATCCCCACCTCTACTAAAATACAAAAAAATTGACTGGGCATGGTGGTGGGCACCTGTAGTGCCAGCTACTTGGGAGGCTGAGTCAGGAGAATTGCTTGAACACAGGAGGCAGAGATTGCCACAAGCCAAGATCACTGCACTCCAGCCTGGCAACAGAGCAAGACTCTGTCTCAAAAAAAAAAAAAAAAAAAAAAAATGAGCACATGTCTTCTGCCCAGACTTCAACCAGTCCAACCTCAGTGCAAGAGAAACCAGGAAATGCAGAGGAGTTCGTAAGCGCAGCAGACCCTGCCCCCAAGCCTCCCTCTGTGCTTTGCAAGCCCAGCATCCCAGCCCAGAGGGGAGCCAAGTCCTTGGAGACAGTTTAAATCCTGGCTCAGCAGCTTGCACACTGGGTGGCCTCAGTCCACGCATCAGTCAGGGTCCCACCAGGAAACAGATGGCACACCTAGAATACGAATTTCAAGGGGATGCATTTACAGAAGAACTATTCACAAAAGCCAATGCAATAAGTAGAATCTAGGAGCATCTTTTTTTTTTTTGAGACAGAGTTTCGCTCTTGTTACCCAGGCTGGAGTGCAATGGCACGATCTCGGCTCACCGCAACCTCCACCTCCTGAGTTGAGGCAATTCTCCTGCCTCAGCCTCCTGAGTAGCTGGGGATTGCAGGCACACACCACTATGCCCAGCTAATTATTTGTATTTTTTAGTAGAGACGGGGTTTCACCATGTTGACCAGGATGGTCTCGATCTCTTGACCTCAAGATCCACCTGCCTCGGCCTCCCAAAGTACTGGGATTACAGGCTTGAGCCACCGCGCCCGGCCAAATCTAGGAGCATCTTCTGGCCAAAGGAGACACAACTAGGGAGTGATCCGTGGGTCCCAGTAGGAGACAGTCAGTGAGAGGTCACCTTGAATAAACAATGTCCTTCACAGGAGAGACATAGCCTGCCTGAGGGACCTCACAGGGAGGGGCCAGAGGAATAAGCATCACATCTTCGCTTGCAGCTTCCTATCTCTGTTAGGGCTCCTTGGCTAAATCAGACAGAAACCATAAGACCCAGGAAGACACTGGTTAATCCAAAAAGGTAAGCCTCCCAGGGCAGAATGGATAGTAGCCCCTGTGGAACAAATGGACACTATTTGGCAGGGACGACTGATTTTTGTTACAGGAGCCTCCTTTTCCTAATCTGTAAAATAAGAATGCTTAATACCTGCCTCATGGCATTGTTGAAAGTAAACAGAATAATATATGCAAATACCTGGCATAGAATAGCCGTTAGTGAATGCTAGTTTCTCAGTGTCTGAAAGCACTTTGCAGTCCAGTGGTTCCCAGCCCAGGATGTACCAACTATTCTAAAGTCTGGTATGAAATTCTCAACATATTCTACAAACAAATTATTTTTTTCTAAAACACTCCCACTTTTGAGCTTCTTCTGTATGTCAAATATTTCATAGTTTGTCTCATTTCAGCCTTACAATATTTTCCTGTGTCATGGCTAACAAATTGGAACTGGCACAGAAAGATTAAGTCACCCATTCATGGTCACAAAGTGAGTTTGTAGGTCTGGCCCCAATGCCCACTGCTAGTCCTACCTGTTCTACTCCGATTTCTGAAGATGTGTGTGCAATGAATAGATAAAGCAGAGGATCCTGAAACGCCAGTGTTTGAGAACTTTCCCTACCGGGAAGGGAGGCAAATGCAAATGCACCCAAAGCTGAGGACCATGTCTTTCCAAAGGCCTCATATAGCCACCACAGGCTCCAGGAAGTGCCCCCTACTCATCAGGGTGCCTCTGTGGCCTCCACACCTGAACTCACTCACCCACTGTGCTGCTGCTGGTTAATTTCAGGTCATCCGTCTCCAGCTCCATCTGACCGGCTCAACACCAGCAGTGCAGACAGTGAGCTATGGGAGCCAGGTAAGCAAACATTCTCTCTGGGGTCCATGGTCAGCTTTCTGCAGGTGGTCGCCCAGGGTAATAAAGAAGGGCAATAAACATTTAGGATACCAGGGGGGCTCCCTGACTCCAGACAACACTTCTTCCTGACTTATCACCTGAGGTTCCACTATTAATTCACTTTGAGATCTTAAAACTACCATTTTTGAGAGCCTACTGATAAGTCACATACAGATGGTCAGGTATGGCTGGAGTATTTTTTTTTTTTAATTCAGCCCCCGTAGAGACTGCCAAAAATTGCCAATGCTGACTATATTTCAAGTCGTCATGGCAGGGTATTGGGAAAAGTGTTCAATTAGCAATAATAGTGCCTCAGGTAGGCCTCATTGGCTATGATACTGCCACTGCGCAAAGCTTGGCTGGAGCATTTTAAGGGGATTTGTTGAGAACAAGCTAAAGAGCTCTTGGTGGGGGTGGCAGGGTTCCACCAGACGGGTCCTTGATTTACTCAACAGACGTTTATTAAGGACCTACTCTGTGCAAAGCTGTATGCTAGCACTGGGGGTGCAATCCTGGGCCAAAAGGGGCAGTGCTTCCCAAAGAAGGGGGTCTTGGGAAGTGAGAACCACCATCAGCTGAAGCCACCCATCTTGAACCCCACAGCCAGCCCCTTGCCCATCCTCCAGGGTTCTGTGGTCATGTGACAGCTGCGAGGACAGTACCCTCAGAGGAGGGGGGAGGGGGAGGGGGAAGCATGCACCCACAGAACCAGGGCCCCTGAACCCAGAACTCTCCCTTTCTTTCACAGAAAGGTGCCTCTAGAGACAGGAGCAAGTGAGGAGGATTGGTGCAAACTGGACCCCTGATTGTCTGTCCCCCATCTTAACCTCTAGCCCTTAACTCCTGAGCCCCACCTGCTCCTGACTCTAAGGAGAACCACAGGGTCGGGCCCAGGGATGGGGCTAGCGACCAAGTGTAGGGGTGGAGTCTAGAGGCCAGATCCAGATCAAGGCGGGCTCAGGACGAGCCAGTCCAGCTCCATTTTGCAGATTGGAAAGCTGAGACCCAGAGCCAGGCAGGGCGTTGTCAACGGTCCGCGCAGTCAGTGCCAGAGCCTGGGCGACCGCGCGCCCGGGCCCCACCGCTCTCAGTTCTCCGGTTAACACTTCCAGGGGAGCGGCTCCGGGTCCGTCTGACGAACGGGAGCAGCGGCTGCAGCGGGACGGTGGAGGTCCGGCTCGAGGCGTCCTGGGAGCCCGCGTGCGGGGCGCTGTGGGACGGCCGCGCCGCCGAGGCCGTGTGCCGCGCGCTGGGCTGCGGCGGGGCGGAGGCCGCCTCCCAGCTCGCCCCGCCGACCCCCGAGCCGCCGCCCCCGCCCGCAGCCGGGAACACCAGCGCCGACGACGCGAACGCCACTCTGGCCGGGGCGCCCGCCCTCCTGTGCAGCGGCACCGAGTGGCAGCTCTGCGAGGTGGTGGAGCACGCGTGCCGCAGCGACGGGAGGCCGGCCCGGGTCACCTGTGAAGGTACGAGCACCCCCTACCCTGGCCCCCACCTGCCCCACTGCCCAGGCCTTCAGCCCCTGCCCCTGGCTTCAGCCCCTGGACCCGAGCCTCGCCCTCCTGACCTCCACCCCACCGCCTACCAGCGCAAACGCACCGGGTTCCCACATCCGACGACGGCCTCCAGCCATTTCCAGACCTGAGCGTTTCCTCGGGTCTGGCATCCAGACTCCACCCCTACACTTGGTCCCCAGCCCCACCCCTAGGTTCCCAATGCCAACCCGGTCTCTAACCCACTTACTGGGCCCGCTGCTTCCCTCCCCACTCCCGTTCCGGGCCTCTATCTCCACCCCTTTACCCCATACATAAACTTGCCAGGTTCACAGGTCCCTTAGTGACTCCCAGGTCCCCAAACCTGACCTCCAGGCCCAACCCACCAGGTCTCTGGTCCCTCCCACCAGCCTGCATCTCTACGTTTCCTATCTGCAGCCCTAGGGGGATTCCCAGTCTCGCCCACCAGGCAACAGCCCTCTCACTGGGTCCACAACCCGCTCAAAACTCTCCTGCCAGTCCAACCATCACCCCAACCCTCCATTCCTCGCCGAGTGCCCCACGGTCCACCACTCCCTCCCACCCCTAGAGAACCGCGCGCTGCGCTTGGTGGACGGTGGCAGCCCCTGCGCCGGCCGTGTGGAGATGCTGGAGCGTGGCGAGTGGGGATCGGTGTGCGATGACACTTGGGACCTGGAGGACGCACACGTGGTGTGCAGGCAACTGGGCTGCGGCTGGGCGATCCAGGCCCTGCCCGGCTTGCACTTCACGCCCGGCCGCGGGCCCATCCACCGGGACCAGGTGAACTGCTCCGGGACCGAAGTCTACCTGTGGGACTGCCCGGGGCTACCGGGACAGCGCTACTGCGGCCATAAAGAGGACGCGGGCGTGGTGTGCTCAGGTCAGTGGGCGGAGTCGTTGAACCATGGTCACCACTGACACTCACCATAGGCCTACCGGCGCCAAGCCTGGAGTTAGTGCGGCAGAGATGTTACCTGCCGTTGATCTGGAGTTCAGGAAGGGAGATGAGCCTGAGACAAACATAACTCAGGCGAGAAAGTGGTAAATGCCCCCAAGAAAGGCAGTCAGGTGGAGTCTAGAGGCAGCAGGCGATGCCGAGCTGGAAGCTAAGGCAGGCCACCTCCTGGAAGAGGTGACATTAAAAGTGGGACTCACTTTGGGAGGCCGAGGTGGGTGTATCATAAGGTCAGGAGATCAAGATCATCCCGGCTAACACAGGGAAACCCTGTCTCTACTAAAAAAAAAAACTACAAAAAATTAGCTGGGCGTGGTGTCACGCGCCTGTAGTCCCAGCTACTTGGGAGGCTGAGGCAGGAGAATCACTTGAACCTGGGAGGTGGAGGCTGCAGTGAGCTGAGATCACACCACTGCACTCCAGCCTGGGCGACAGAGCGAGAAAAAGAAAGTGGGACTCTTACCAAGTGGGAGTTGGACTCCTGCATTCAATCAGCAAGGGGAGACGAGGCAGGGAGGCCTTTAAGGAGGCTGTTGGTCTGTTCAGGAGAGGCCAGAAGGCTCTGGACCAGCCAGTGCCTCTATTTGATATGGAGGAGATGGGGTAGTTCTGATTTAGTAGGTCTGGCGCAGGGCTGGAGAGTCTGCATTTCTAAGGAGATCCCAGGCAATGCAATGCTGCTGCTGCTGCACTGACCACACTTAGGGTAGCAAGGGTCTAGAGATCCCAGCAGGGCTGGCTAGAGCAGATGGGGCAGGTTCGGGGGACACAGACACAGGAGGGAGAAGACACAAGATCTGAAGACCAAATGGCTGCACTGGTGCCTGCACTGCTGGGTCTGGGCTGGCAGGAATTTCAGCCCAAAGGATCCTGACCTGACTCTGCCTCCTGCCCCTTCCTTCCAGAGCACCAGTCCTGGCGCCTGACTGGGGGTGCTGACGCCTGCGAGGGGCAGGTGGAGGTCCACTTCCGAGGGGTCTGGAACACGGTGTGTGACAGTGAGTGGTACACGTCGGAGGCCAAGGTGCTCTGCCAGACCCTGGGCTGTGGCACTGTGGTGGAGAGACCCAAGGGGCTGCCCCACTCCTTGGTCGGCCAGATGTACTACTCATGTAACGGGGAGGAGCCCACTCTCTCCAACTGCTCCTGGCGGTTCAACAACTCCAACCTCTGCAGCCAGTCGCTGGCAGCCAGGGTCCTCTGCTCAGGTAATTCATCCTACTTCACTCCCCAGATCTGAGCCAGAATTCTACCTGAATCCATGTCCTAAAAACTTACAGTCCAAGGACCACAATACGCACCAGATCAGCAACAGCACATAGGGCGTAAGAAGGACCATTGTCCTTACTGTGCCCAGGCGGACAGTGCTAATCAATCAAGGCATTTTCAGATGCTCCACTCAGACCCAGAATGATGAATCACAAATGAAGATGTTAGGTGCTAAGCAATGGTTCCTATGGACTGGGATTGACTCAAGAGTTGAAACCAATTTGCCATCCCAGGCCTGGTGATCACAGTAAAAATAATATTAGCGGGCCCTGCTAATAATATTGGTGACAGCTTCTGGAACCCTGATCACGTGCTAGGCATTGTTGAGCACTCAGTAGCTCTTATTTCAGCTAAGCCTCATACCCACTCTGAGCTGGGTTCCACCATATTTCACCAAATCTAAGATGGCGTTGTTAATAAGTCGCACCATTATGTTATGTACCATAAAGAACAAACACTACCAAAATAAACCACCCAACATAATGATCAAGGCCACGATCCTAATTTCAGACGTGTTAAAGTTGGAAAAAATAAGTGTTCGACCTGAAGAAGTATGATATTTGCATTCTTACGGCGTTCAGACACTTGGTTACAAATTCTAGCTCAGCCATTCACAAGCAAGGAGGCTTCCAACAGTCCCTCCCATCCAAGTACTAACCAGGCCCGATCCTGCCTAGCTTCTATATCAGAAGAGATCAGGCACGTTCAGGGTGGTTTGGCCGTAGACCCAGAAGTCCCTTAACCTCCATGTGTGGATGCTGAGACAGCTGGGAAACCCAATTCTATCTGCTGAGGGACTTTTAAGCTCCTTTCTTTGTGAGCCTACCTACCCAACGGGAATGCCGATTACGATAATGAAGATAATGTCAGCTCTTTATCTTCCTAGGCTGCTTAGGAACAAACTGAAGCTGAATGGAAAGGGGATTTGTGGTCTGCAGTAGCTTACACACAAAGAAGGGATAATTCTATTAGCCCTTTATTCTAAGCAAAGAGCCTTCCCAGCGTTTAATCCCTGAGTTCCCCCTTACTGTCCAAGGAGGGAGGGAGGGAGGTAAGCTTCCTTAGCCACATGCCCCTGATGGGAGCACAAGCCTCGTTCTGAGTCATTTGTCTGTCCCGTTCAGTTTCTAACCCAAGGCCTGGCACACAGTAGGTGCTCAGTAGCATGCACTGAGTGACTGGGTGGTGCTTTCTCACAGCCTCCCGGCGTTTGCACAATCTGTCCATTCCCGAAGTCCCTGCAGGTGTTCAGCCAGTCACTATAGGTAAGTCTTGCTGGGTACTATGAGGTTCCCCAGAAGCTTGAGCGTGCGTGCGTGTGTGTGTGTGTGTGTGTGTGTGTGTGTGTCCCTGTGCACATCTGTGCTGGGGTGAGGGATGGTTTGGTCCCCCTCCCCCACCTCCAGCCAATGGACTTGCCTCCCGGGTCTCTCTGGGCACTTTCTGCTCCTTCTACACCCCCTCTTTGCCAAGTCAGCCCATAGCTCACTGAGTCCTGATACTTACTGGACAGAAGGCCATTCCCCCACTTTCCTGTGAGCTCCTGGAGGGCAGAAGGGAAGAACTGAAGAAAGTTGATACCACCTCGAGCGGGGGTTGGGGGTCAGGGGGTGGCCAGAGGGGAGGGTGAACTTGGCCCAGCTTGGTATCGGGAATGCTGGCACATAGCCCTGTGTTTATAATGGGCCAGACACGGGGCCTAGTGCCTTATAACCAATATTCCCCAACCCTTTAATCTCTCTGCAGCCAAATGGGAGAGGTCTCATTATAATCCTTACATCAAGTAAGGAGCTGCGGCTCCGAGGCTGAAGTCACAGCTGGTGACTGACGGCCAGAATTGACAACCAAGGCTCTGAATTTCAGATCCGTTCTTGCTCCACTCCCCAGCCCTGTGTAGCTTGGCCGGCATCAGGGCAGGCTCCCAGGATTACAGTCCCAGCCGTGCCTTTTGCTAGCTGTGTCCTGTTGGGAAACTCTGAACCTCCCTGAGCCTCAGACTCCTCAATTATAAAATGGGGGTGGCTAGCCTACAGTACCTTCCTCCTAGCATTGCTGTGAGGATCCAGTGAATTAATTTTTGTAAAATGCTTAGAACAGAGCCTCGAAGACAGTAAGAACTGTCCGAAGGTCTGCTGTTGTGAGTATTTAGTTTGGGCCTAGAGCCCTTTGCAGTCCTGGGATACCCACAGGGCCGGCCCAGACTCCCTTGCTCTGCTTCCTGGCTGTGTCATCTTCTCTCAGACACCCCAGAGGCAGTGAACGGGGGCTCGGGGAGAGAGCACAGAGGCCCTAGCAATAGAGGACTGCACAGAGAGGAAATGAAATGCTCCAACTGTACACACAGCTGGCGAGCTCCTGCCAGACCCGCAGGCAACCTGCACACGCTCTCTCTAACTGAGTCAGGGTGGGGATCCACCCCAGCCCCCGAAGGGCAAAGAGTGAAGCCAAAGAAAGATCCGGGACCACGCCCCGGCCCGGGGCCCAGCAGCAGCCACAGCCCTCAGGACCCAGGTTCGCGGGCTTCACATGGCCGCAGCACCCAGCCTCACTCTCACATCTGCTTCCTGCTGCTAGATCCAGCTCCCATCAGGGCCTTAACTTCCCCATTTGCAGACAGAAAGGGGAGAGAGGAGAAAATGAAGGCAAGGAGAGGGTTCTCTCCCAGGGGAAGCAGACACTGCCCCCGGCAAGGGAGTCTGGATGATCTCATCCCCCTCCCCATTGCCGTCACCACTTGCCATCTAGCCTTGTGGTCTGCTCACTCCGGGCACCCTCCTCACTGCCCCCTGTACCCATCTTTCTGCTTTGCATTGTTTTAAGCAGAGGGGAGGCTAAGGCAGGGGGAAGGCAAGAAGTCACCCAGGGTGGGGCTGCAGAGGTGGGAGACCCTGAATCCCAGACCTCACTCCAGTCCTCATGGAGGGGATGTCTAGTGGGAAGAAGAGGGGTCCCAGGCACAGCTGATGGTCTGTTCACTGCCAGAGGTGGCTCAGGGTCACAGTCTCGGGGAAGTCAGCCTTGGTCTTCCCAGCAGAGAATGAGATGCCTTTTGTAGGGCCTCAAACCCCTACTGCCAATGCTCAAACCTCCATCACAGCAGGTGCCTCACCATATTGGATTGGGTTACTTATTGACCTCTCCACTAGACAGAGGCCCTCAAGGCCCGTGATACTGTTGTCATATGTGTAGCCCTAGGGCCAAGTGCCAGGCGCACAGTGGTACTCAATAATTGTCTATTGAACAAAGACTAAATACTGAAGAGCTAGCAGACAGATAGATCCCTGCAGCCTGGTGGCCAGGGTTGTTTTTCAGACAATAATTCATTTAATCAATTACTCATGCATTCAATATGCATTTATTGAGCGCCTATTATATACCACACGCTTAAAAGCATATGGGAAAAATTGGGAAAGGAAGCGAGGAGGAAGATAGGATGAAAAGGGAAGCAGATCAGCTGTCAGGGAATGAAAAGGCAAGAAGGGTGAGTGCCCATTCCTCTTTCTTCCTGAATTGGAATTCTTGTTTCCAGAATCTTCTGTGACAGTGAAAATAAAGAACACAGACTCTCGGGAGCTAATGCTCCTCATCCCTTGCGTTGTTCTGGGAATTCTCCTCCTTGGCTCTCTCATCGCCATAGCCTTCATCCTCTTGAGAATTAAAGGAAAATATGGTAAGTGCAAGGTTCTGGGTGCCACAGCCATCCCAGGGGGATGTGAGCCTTGACAGAACCCCAGCAGCAGTGGTGTGGTCCAGCAATGGCCACCCATCCCTAGCCCTGGGGAGTTCCCCATCATGGAAAGGATTTCCCCAGCATGCCCAGCAGACATGGAACCACCATCTTGGGGTGTGTGTGTGTGTGCGCGCGTGCGCATGCATGCACACTCCTGCCAGTGTTGGGGAATGAGGAGGGTGGTGTCTTGATGAGAACAGAACAAAACCAGGTAGACTGGGAGAGGGCAAAAAAATGACTTGTAGAATTTCTGCCTCCCCTTCCCTCAGCCCTCCCCGTAATGGTGAACCACCAGCACCTACCCACCACCATCCCAGCAGGGAGCAATAGCTATCAAGCGGTCCCCATCACCATCCCCAAAGAAGAAGGTAGGATGTCCGCCATCCTGGGTGCGGGAGGGCTGGGGAGGACAGGAAGGGTGTACTTTCTGGAAGGTCAGCACTGCTTAGGTCAAAGCAGTACACAGCTAGAGATGAGATCGGGGCCAGCCCACTCATGGCCCTGCAACCTTGAGCAGGCTCAAGTCGCTCCTGGATGTGGATGGGAAATGACCTTCCAGTTCAGTCACGCTGGAACTCTAGAGTGTTCAGTTCTGGACAAATACAGACTAAGGACATTTTAGACCTTGGTTCTCAGAGGAAAGCTCTGCTCTGCTTTGCTCTGCTAGTTGGCTGGTAGGCTTGTGATATCATCATCCCTTTCAGCGTCCTGCCCAATCAGCCTTGTGAAGCCTCATCAAGATTCTTCTAGGATGTGGTTTTATTTCATATTTTCTGAGCAAAAAAAATAAATTGGGGCCAGTGGCAGTGGCTCACGCCTGTAGTCCCAATACTTTGGGAGTCTGAGGCAGGCAGATCACTTGAGGTCAGGAGTTCGAGACCAGCCTGGCCAACATGGCAAAACCCTGTCTCTACCAAAAATGTAAAAATTAGCCGAGTGTGGCGGCGCACACCTATAATCCCAGCTACTCAGGAGGCTGAGGTGGGAGAATCACTTGAACCCGGGAGGCAGAGGTTGCAGTGAGCCAAGATCATGCCACTGCACTCCAGCCTGGGTGACAGAGCGAGTCTCTTTCTCAAAAAAAAAAAAAAAATTGGGTCGGTCACTCATCCTTTATGATATATGGATTTATACCTCTTGAAAGTCCTGCAGAGGAATTTGAGTTGAATCACCTTGCATTATGAATATTTTCAAGCACCTTTATCGGAAGGAGTTCAATGACATAAAAACCAATACCAAACTCAGCCAAATGTTATAAATATCCTTTGTACAGAGTGTCCATATATTTGAGAAGAGACTGTGAATACAGCATCTAGCACAAGGCTTAGCACAGAGCAGGTGCTCACTGAATAGTACAGTCTAGAGCCGGCTCTGGGCAAGGTAAGAGCCTGTCTGTGCCTCAGGTCCCTCCAAGGTAAAATGGGGATAACGGTGTACCTACGTCACAGAGTTCTCCTAAGGGTTAAATGAGATAATATTTGTAAATGTTAGAATAGTGCTTCGCATATAGTAAGTACTGTGTTAAGTGTTTGCTAAATAAATGTTTAATTCTCCATATTGGAAGTGGACGAAGGGAGCCTTGAAAATCCAGACTGGGTGGTTTGTACAAGATGGGGTACCCAGGCCAGGCACGGTGGTGCACGCCTGTAGTCCCCACACTTTGGGAGGCCAAGGCAGATGAATCACTTGAGCCCAGGAGTTTGAGACCAGCCTGGGCAACGGGGTGAAAACCTGTCTCTGCAAAAAACTTCAAAAATTATTTGGGTTGGTGGTGCACACCTGTGGTCCCAGCTACTCGGGAGGCTGAGGTGGGAGGATGATCTGAGCCCAGGAGGTCAAGGCTGCAGTGAGCTGTGATGGCACCACTGCACTCCAGCCTGGACAACGGGGTGAGATCCTGCCTCCCCACCAAAAAAAAAGGGCTACTTGGTGCTCCCCTGCCACTCTGCCTCTCATCTCTGACATGAGACATACTCTCTACCATCTCTCCCTACATCTTCCCACCTGCCACTTTGCCATGCCCCCGACTCTGTTCTCTCCCCAGTTTCCATGCTGCCCATCCAGGTCCAGGCCCCACGCCCTGAGGACTCAGACTCCGGCTCAGACTCAGACTATGAGCACTATGACTTCAGCGCCCAGCCTCCTGTGGCCCTGACCACCTTCTACAGTGAGTGACTGGCTGGGCTCCCAAGGGCCTACCTGCCTGAATCAGGGAGGGGACCCAGCTGGCCAGGCCCCCATCAGTAGTCCCGCCTTATAACCCCTGTATGACGCGGGCAGAATCCCCCGGTGACCCACTGGACTGACTGTAAATGGTCCTACATTGACATTTTCAAAGTACTCTGTGACCTTGGAGTCACTCGATGTCTCAGGTGATTTCTACCCTGACCTCTGTCTCTCCCATGTTTGTCTCTGGCCGTGTAGGGTCTTAAGACCAGGCCTTTGACCTACACCTAAAGGTGGTTCTCTGTGTGAGAGACAGGGGAGTGCAGACGAGAACCTCAGTGGGCAGGGGTTCTTACACTCCCGTACCCCTCCGTGCTCCATCCTGCCCTGTCTGACCCCATCAGCCCCACCCATTCCACACCTCCACTGTCACACCAGCTTGTGCCTCATAGCCAGCTGGCCCAGCTCTTGTCTCTGCCTTCTGGGGATAGGAAGAGGAAAGATAACGGGAAAGGCAGGGCCCAGGGAATGCTGGGAGGTTGGAATAGACCACAGCGTCCCACACCCTGTTGTGGAATCATTTGGGAGCTTGTCAAAAATTCCTGAGCCCCGCCCCAAACCTAATGTATCAGTCAGGATGAGAGCTCTGCTGTGTGGGACAGAAGGCTCCAAATGACAGTGTCCTAAGAAACTGTCAAGGGCCCAGGCCCCTTCTTTCTTGCTGCTGCTGTGCAGTCCCTAAGGTGTCGCCCTCATTTACATGGTCCAGAATGGCTCACCTCCATGTCCACATTCCAGGCAAGGGTAAGGGAAAGACGGGATGCTGGAGATGCCCGCAGCATTCCCACCCACCACCCAGCACCCAGAACGGAAACCCCCTAGCTGCAAGAGAGGCAGGGAAACGAAGCCTCTCTACTGGGCAGCTGTGTCCCGGTAAAAGCCTGAATGGATACTGGAGTCCCTGCCCCGCCTGCTAACCCAGGGCTTCTGGGGGTGGGACACGGATGATTTCACTTCTCCTGGCCCATGGACCAGTGTTTGGGAGCCACAGGGATGAAGTATCTGTCAAACCTGAGATTCTGAGTCCAGGCATGTAAGATGCAAGACTGAGAGTCCAGAGTACTGTAACATAGAGACTAAAAGTCAGTCGTACCAGGTTCAAAAGAGCTGACTCCCAGATCCCAGACACTCCTGGTCTCAAGACCCTGTAAATCTCTATCTGATTCTGAAACTGGAAGGTGCCACAGAGCCTGTGATGCAGTGAGTCCAGACCATCTGGGTTTCACTCTGGGACGGCTTCTTGAAGGGACAAATACATGTCTTTCTCCGGCCCAGGTCACAAGGACAGACCCAGACTCTTGATATCCCTCTAAGTAGCAGGAGGGACAGCTGGGCTGGGGGCTGGGGGGTCAGGGCACTAACTAGAGCTTCTGGCCCCAGGCTGGTTAAACACGTTGGCCCTCGATTGAGACGCAGGGTCTGCTGGATGAGGACATGAGCCTGGAATCTGAAGGAAAACACTAAGCCCTCTCTGCCTCTGGAGTTTTCCTCCCACCCTGTTCAGCCTTTCCAACCCCAAGGAAATCCAGCCCCTTCTCCAGGCTCCTAAAGTGATGAGGTTGAGCCTTCACTCCTCCCCACTGCCACCTCTGCTTGCAGATTCCCAGCGACATCGGGTGACAGATGAGGAGGTCTGGCAGAGCAGGTTCCAGATGCCACCCCTGGAGGAAGGTGAGTCAGGCTGTGGAGGGGTGTGAATGGCAGCCCTGCCTCCAGAGAGTAGCTCAGCTCGCCTTGAGACCTTCCAGCAGGAACCTCCCATGATGAGTCTTTCCTATCAAATCCTATAGGCAGTAAGTGCTTCCTGAAGTCTGACTTAAAGCCCTCTTGCTGCAATCCTTCTTTTGTCACCATTCTCCCTTTCCTGGCTTAGGACTTGAAGAGTTGCATGCCTCCCACATCCCAGATGCCAACCCTGGACACAGCATTACACACCCGCCATCCCTTGGCCCTCAGCATTGCCCGAGGGGCAACAGCGAGTCGAGCACCTCTTCTGGGGAGGATTACTGCAATAGTCCCACAAGCAAACCACCCCCATGGAACCCCCAGGCATTTTCTCCAGAGAGGAGTTCCTTCCCGGAGCAGCCCCCAAACTTGGAGCTGGCTGGCACCCAGCCAGCCTTTTCAGGTAAGCTGCGCCTCCTCCATCCCCCATCCCATAGCCAGCCTGGCTGGAGGGGGCATAAAGCTGGGAGCCCTGAGCCAGGCTGAGGTCAGGACTCTCCCCAGTTCCGCAGCCACTCGCTGTGTGCCCTTGAACAATCTCCTCCCATCTCTGGGCCTTCACTTTGTCATTTGTCAAGCTGGGGACTTGGCTCTCGTGAGTGGCATGCCCTCCCCCCCCAGCTCTGGCACTTGCGAAGTGACTGTGTGCTGGCAGAGGGTGACCGACCCTGGGGATTTCCAGCAGGGCCCTCCGCTGATGACAGCTCCAGCACCTCGTCCGGGGAGTGGTACCAGAACTTCCAGCCGCCACCCCAGCCCCCTTCAGAGGAGAAGTTTGGCTGTCCAGGTATCAAAATCTGGGGAAGGGATTTGGGAGTGGGACAGAGAGGGACTGGGGAGTGGATGAGTGGGGAACTGTTGGATGCATTACTCCAGGGGAAAAGGAGAAAGGATGGGGAGAAGAGAAGAAGAGTAACGTTTTTTTTGAGATGGAGTCTTGCTCTGTTTTGAGGCTGGAGTGCAGTGGCGCCATCTCGACTCACTGCAACCTCCAACTCCCGGGTTCAAGCAATTCTCTTGTCTCGGTCTCCCGAGTAGCTGGGACTACAGGCGTGCGACACCATGCCCAGCTGGAAAAGTAACTTTTTAAAAAGCAAAGCAAGGGAGGTTTGGTAGCTCAAGCCTGTAATCCCAGCACAAGGCAGGAGGATTGCTTGAGGCCGGGAGTTTAAGACTAGCCCGGGCAACACAGCGAGACCCAGTCTCTACAAAACTAAAACGTAGCCGAGCGTAGTAACACGTGCCTATAGTCCCAGCTTCTCAGGAGGCTGGGTTGGGAGGATCATGTGAGTGCAGGAGATCCCGGCTGCAGTGAGCTGTGATAGTGTCACTGTGGGTCGTGCTACTGCAGGGTCAGAGCGAGACCCTCCCTCTATAGGAAAACAAAAACAAGCACAATAAGAATATGAAGAGGTGGGGAAACAGATGTGGATGGGGTGGAGAAATATTCAAACAGGCTGCTTTGATAAGAAGTGAGCTCCCTATTAGTGGAGGCGTTCAAGCAGAAGCAGCTGGTTGGCCCCTTCCTTGGGGGAGACTGCAGTAGCAGAGGAGCTCCGGCATTCAGTCACCCACCACATCGTGCAATGCATGCCGTCGTGGAGACCACAGCCCTGAACCAGGCAGACGAGGCTCTGCCCTCAGTGCTGATGCTCTAGCCAGGGACGTGGCCAGAAGCAAGAGGACAAGAGGGCCTCATGCCGCATCACGTGGGGAGAGTGACGTGGAGCAGCAGGGGCAGGAACTGAGTCTCCCACTAACGTGGGCCTCTCTGCCCACAGGGTTCCCTGGCCCTCAGCCTGACTCCACCGATGATGACTATGATGACACTGGCGCAGCCTAGACCGGGCCCGGCTAAGGCTCCTGGGGCGGCTCCAACCCTCTGGCCTCCTGCTCTACCTACTCCCTTTCCCCTCCGCCACCCTCCCAGATCACCTCCCCATGGAGCTGAGAGGCCTCCCCTGGAGAGACGGAAGGAAATGTTACACCTTGTACCCCTCAGTCTCCATCCATCAAGCCAAACCTGCTGGCAAAGGTCTCCCCTGGCCCCAGACAGCGCCCCAAACAGCAGCCCCAGGAGGATGCTGCCTCCAAGAGGTGTGAGCCCTCTGTCTTGGGGATGAACAAGCAGAGTCCGGACTCCGTCTTGGCAGCTGGTGGGAGGGTTGGGGAGCTGGACTGGCTGACTCTGGAGGCCTGTTCTAACCCTCAGGTGTCGGGCGCTTTGATTCCCTGCGTCTCTGACACTTCAGGGCCAGAACTGGGCCCCCATGCCAGCACTGCTGCAGGAGGGCCCATGTGCTAGGGGCTGCTGGGCTGTTGTCACTGATAAGTGGCTGCTGGGGGGATGGGGCAGCACACCAGGTGTCCCAGGCTCTGCTCGGGGTGGTAACTGCACCTGGGCAGGGAATATAGCCTTCCTGGGCACAATGAGCTGACAATGACAGGTTGACTGTGTACCCCCAACCAAAGAGCTGGGGCCCAAGGCCAGTCCTGCCCCAGAGACACTCCACATCCACCAGGGGCACAGAAAGTTCTGCAGTGACCTTCCCTGGACAGTCATAGTCTGAGCTTCCTATGGTTTACAAAGAAGGTCACAGCCCAGTCCCACCACTGAGCCCAGCGATAGGGGCCCAGTCCCCATGAGGGCAGGAGCATAGAGATGTCTTCCAGGAAGGGGCTCAGAAGCTGCACTAAGCCCTGAGTCCCCATGTATCTCCTTGAAGTGATGAGGATGCTCCCGGGATGAACGCGTGAATATTCAGTGTTGTGCCCAGAGCTGCAAACGTCTCCATGCAGCCCCCAGAGAAAGGCCCACAGACTCAGGCCAGGCTCGGGTGTACTATTCTGAGTATCCTGAGATTAAACTGAATTGCTGAACGAACCCAGGGCGTGGAATGACAATTTCTTAAACCTCATAGAACCCAGGCTGCATGTGTGTGCATGCGTATATGGTGTGTGTGTGCCCTGTGCGTATGTCTGTGCATGGGTGGCATGTGTGTGCGTGTGTGGCATGTGTGTATGTGTGTGGCATGTGCATACATGTGTGCATGTGTGTGCATATGTGTGGCATATGCACATATATATGTGTGGGGGGCATGTGCATACATCTGTGTGTGTGGTGTGTGTGTAAATGTGTGTGGCATGTGAGTACATGTGTGCATGTGTGTGGTATATACATACATGTGTTGCATGTGTGCATGGGGGGGCATATGTTGTATACAAATGAGACAGAGTTGAGCTCAAATCCTTAATTTGAGAAGTGATCCCAGGGAGCAGCAGTAAGAAAATGAAAAAGGAGGAAGAAAGAAAGACAATGTTCATGAACAGGTTGCTGTTGTGGGCAGCCAGGGCTCAGTGGAGCTGGGGACCTCTGGGAGTTACACCTCAGAACTGTCCCACCAAGGGGGCAGGGAGCTGGGACATTGACCCACCATCCCTGCCTGTCACTAGTTGAGGAGCATTAACCCGCAGCCCCAGCACTACCGAGCCGTCTATGAGTGAGCGGAGCATACTCCTGTGTCTAGAGAAAGCCACAGGCAGAGGGTCAGAGGCACATGCTATGAGGAGCCATCTTCCATAGGAATGGTGCAGGAGGAGCAGCAACAGCAACTGCTCCACGTGCAGAGAGTGTGTGTGTGTGTGTGTGTGTGTGCATGTGTGTGTGTGCGTGTGTGTGGGAGGCCAGGTTGGGGCAATGGTGGGGGCAACTCTATCTGTTTAGGTGGAAATGCCGGGGGGAACTGGAAAACCCCCTGTGGCTCAGCACTGTGAAAAACTCTAAGGAGGCTCACGCCTGTAATTCCAGCACTTTGGGAGGCCAAGGAAGGAGGATCACTTTAGCCCAGGAGTTCAAGCCCAGCCTGGGCAACATAGTGAGACCCTGTCTCTACCAAAAAAAAAAAGAAAGAAAAAGTTAAAATTCATCCAGGTATGGTGGGGAACACCTGTAGTCCCAGTTACTTGGGAGGCTGAAGCAGGGAGGTGGTTTGAGCCCAGGAATCTGAGGCTGCAGAGAGCCATGATCACATCACCGCATTCCAGCCCGGGTGACAGAGTGAGACTCTATCTCGAAAACATTTTTTTAATACTAGGGATAGTATTTTTTTTAACAACTGGTCTGCTCCGCACCAGCCCTGGGCTCAGCGGCAGGGGTTACGGCGCTGAATGAATTCCCACCTGAGATCCTGAAAGCTTCAAAGGTAGGATAATTCCAGGGAGTTTTATGCTTAGAGTTGCCTGGCAAAGGGTTGCACCACCCCAGAAGGCGCCGGGGATGAGGCTGTTGGAGCTGGAGGAGACTGGAGCGGACCCGCCCAGAGGAATCGGCTTTTCCCCCAGTCCTCTGCCCACTCTAGGCTGTTACTCTAACCCTGCTGCCATGGTCAGTGCCCAGCTCTGCCTGCGGGGTGAGGGTTTGGGCTCAGGTTTTCAACCAGCCCTCCCCGAGGGGCGGGTGATGAAGGGGGCGGGGCTGTGGGGCTGGGCGGGGCCTGCTTTCCATTCACCTGTCCCAGAGGTGGAGAGAAAGCTGCGCTCCCCAGGGCAACCGTCACAGGATGTGGTTGGCAGTGATGGGCCCCCTCCTCTGGCCCTCTGAACCCTCTCCAGGGTGGCGGGGGATTCCTACGGGCGGAGTCCCTGCTGGGGTGGGTGGGGCAGACTCAGAGGCAGGGGCCCTGTGAAAGCCTGGGTTCAACTCCCCACTCCACCCCTCCTGGCTGTGTCACCTCAGGCAAACCACTTAACATCTCTGAACCTTTGTTTGCTGCACGTTGGTCGTTGGTCCGTAATAGGTATGGGCAGAAGTGGGTAACTCTCAGGTGGTGGTGAGGGTTAGAGGCTAGGCAACAAATCCTCCCTGTCATTGGTAGATTAATCCCTGCAGGTGAGAGCTCTCCTTAAAAGGAGAAAGGGGGTGGGGGGACGCGGAGACATTCAGCAGTTCCTGGGTCTTCAGTGCGTCGGTGCTGGGGGTGGGGCGGGGCAAGAGTTGGGGGGAACGTGGCGAATGTCTCATCCCACTCTCATTTCACAGGTGAGGACACTGAGACGTGGAGGGGTGGCGGAAAGGACCTAAGGTCATTGAGAGTTAGTAGTAACACAATTCAATCCTTCCCCACCCCAGGCCCACCCCAGCTCAGGCAGGGAGATGGCGATGCCTTCTGAGTCCCCCCTATTTCTCCAACCTCCCCGGAGCTGTCTCTCTCTCACCCCAGCACTCCCACCCAGGGCCCCCCACAGTCTCCGAGAAATTGGGAAGGTCTGCCCTAGCCCTGGGCAGCCTGGAGACACAGTCACACACAGCAGGAGGGCTGATCCCAGATGGCCTCCATCTCTAGGCCTCCCGGGTACGCGGACCTGGGAGCGGCTCCTTATTGAGCCGACATGTGCCAGGCCTGTGCTGGGACTGGGAAAGCAGAGATGAATGACAGCCAGGCTCTGACCTGAAGGAGCGCCAGCCTGGCAGGGAAGTCACAAACATAAGCACGTGGCTTCCCCTCCACTCCTGGGAGACCTCAGGTTATAATACCCCTCAAGGATCTAGGAGAGGAAACACAAAGAGGCTGGATGGACTTGGCAGCGGAACCCAACGGTTCCAGAAACATTGGTGCGGGGGCGGGGGGGGGGGGGGGGGGCGGAGCTGTGTCCCGGAATGGAAGCACCGCCCAAATTTGACTGACAGTTCTGCAAGCACAGGGAGAGAGTGATGCACAGGGAATACCTGGGAAGCTGATGCCTGATCTGGGTTGTAGAGGATGAACAGAGTGAGCCATGGACATGGAGAAGAAAGGGCATTCCAGGCCGAGGGAATGACATGTGAAGACAGAGCATGCAGCTGTACAGCTTGTGAGGTCAAGGGGGCTCCAGCTTGAGAAGAGATGAAGCTGGGGACAGTCAAGTCTCACACCAACTCCATTTCATTCATGGGTGTGAAAATCGAGGCCCAGAGAGGTTAAGTAAAATGCCATGGTCACACAGCTAAACAGTGACAGGGCTGGGACTTAAATACAGCCTCGCTTCAGAGTCTGAGTGTTAACCATGGCTCTTCCATGTCCCAGTGCCACCACAGTCACTCAGCTGGGTATTACCAGAGCCCCAGCCTAGCATCTGGAGACACCAGCCTGTCTGCCCACCAACACCACAGGAACCAGCCGCATCCCAGGATACTGGGTGCGGGAATGAAAAATCATCACTACCGGGGCACCGTTATAGAGCTAGCTCTGTGCTGAGCTCTGGGAGGCACAGGAAGGAATGAAGCTTGGCCCTTGCCCTTGGGGAGTTTACAGTATCTGGGGCAGTCAGGGAGCAATAACTTCCTTCCATCACCATGGTGATGATGAGGGTGGGTAGCATTTACTATGTGCCAGCCATGTGTCCCTCCTTACAATCCTCCTAAGGGCAGTTCAAGAAGGTAGTATTCTCTCTTATTTGTAAACAGGACAACTGAAGCCCAGAGAGATTAGGCGACTAGCCAGAAGCCACGCAGCTTGGCAGGTAGCACAACTTTTCCACCTAACCCCAAAGCCCCCGTGTGGAAACACCAGGCTGTGAGGGCTCATCATGAGCATGTTTAACCCACATGAACTCACGTGTAGGCTCAGAAGCAAAGAGAAAGGCAAGAGGCAACCCAGCCACTACTTCCCGTGGTGAACAAACGCCCAGAAGAGACAGACAGGAGCCGGGGACCCTCCGTTCCCTCAGATCCCAAAAACCATTCATCCTGTGGGTATCTTGACCTTGCCACACTGGATTACATTTTAGCTCTTGAGGATTCATTTTTCATACATGGTGGGCTTTGTTTCAGGCCCACTTCAACAGGCTGCCCTGATGCTGTGGGGGAAACAACAGGGTTGGGGCCAGAGCAGAGCAGACTGACATACAGGTATCTTCCCAAGGACTGTTCTTTCCCTTCCTGCAGTCCCTCTCTCCTTGTCTGCCTTTTCCTCCCTCCCTCCTCTCCCCCTCCCTCCCCCCACCACATTCCCCCCCTCCCTTTCTTCCTCCCTCCCTTCCTTCCTTCCCTCCTTCCTTCCTCCCTCCTTCCGTCCTTCCCTTTCTTCCTCTTTCCCCCTCCCTCCCTCCCTTCCTCCTTCCTTCCCTCTTTTCTTCCCTTCTTCCTCCCCCCTCCCTCCCTTCATTCCTTCCTCCCTCCTTCCTCTCTCCCTTCCTTCCTTTTCTCTCTCTTTTCTTTCTTTTTTTCTCTTTTTGAGATGGAGTCTTGCTCTGCCACCCAGCCTGGAGTGCAATGGTACGATCTCGTCTCACTGCAACCTCCACCTCCCAGATTCAAGCAATTCTCCTGCCTCAGCCTCCCAAGTAGCTGGGATTACAGGCACATGTCACCATCCCCAACTAATTTTTGTATTGTTAGTGGAAATAGGGTTTCATCATGTTGGCCAGGCTGGTCTTGAACTCCTGACCTTAAGTGATCCACCTGCCTCGGCCTCCCAATGTGTTGAGATTACAGGCATGAGCCACCCTGCCGGGCCCTTTCTTTTTTTAAATGGGAAATACCTTAACATCATTAAAACTCCAGCGACATGAATTCCTACCATTCAAATCTTGTCCCCCATCCACCTGCTCCTTCCTCCCCACTCAGCCCACCCCAGGTAAACACAATAGTTCCTCTGATGTAGAAACAAGCAGATGTGAACCCCCCTTGGTGTCCTACCCTTTCTTATACAGAAAAGACGTCCAGGCACCCTCTTGGGTTCCTTGCTTTCTTTTTACTTCTCCAGTATCCCAGAGAACTTTCCTAAGGGAAGAGTGATGTTACCTGTATTTGAGTTTTCTCCCATAAGCTGTGCGAGCAGATAACCTCTGCCTCATACAGCGATGTGGACAGAGAGGAAGAAGCCACCAACTCTGCCAGGGTT